AAAGACAAGAACACTACTCCCAGAGAAATGGTATATGTTTGAGAAAAGGAAAGACTTCCATGCGCAACATGGCCAAAGTAGGGCTTCAAACCCCAAACCTCAAACATTAGCAGTAGATAACCTCAGCAGACTTGGCTACTTAAAATATTTGATATAATGTTGATACATTAATTAATATAACGGATTGATTACAGAGATACCATTTATCTTTTGTTTATAGAAGTTATAATCATTCCACTCATTAAATGTCAAATTGGATGGCTTGGAATGAGTCACAGAGTTTGAAAATTTTTTTTTTGGAACTTTGTATCAATTCAATAACACACTTATAACCACCTATTTTGAAATTTAAAAGACAAGAATAATTGTGATCTCCATGTACAAAAGATAGATAGTTATATAATGTCTAATTTGTTTTTGTCTTTCTTTTTTTTCCCCCCCCCCAAACTTTGCCAGAATGTTGATCTAGCCAATTCAGACTAGGACAAGAAGATAGACAATCTGCCCCTCCGATCCATTTTTAAAATGATGACTAGAGTTTTAAGAGCTCAAAATATTTTTCTTCGTTCTTGATACTGACAAATATTTGAAAATACAAATCCCTCCAATTTAGGATTTTTTTAGGGGGTCTTGCACCATTGTAGAAGTAGCTAACAATGCAGCATAAATGCATGTAGTGTCTCTTGTCCATTCTCAGTGATGGATGGAAGAGGTGAACTATTTTTTAGCTGCATGTAGTAAAGAATGGTATAAAGCATGAACTACAGTGAACAACAAAGCTGCTCAGTAATAATCATGGGAATTGCAAAGTGTGATAGAAGCAGCATACAAATAGCATGATATATGTAACATCAATAGTGACCAGTTGAACTACTCGTCTATAAGACTTGAGAGGAAGTAATTTTTTTTGGTAGTTATTGAGGAAAATGGAATTCAAAATGTCTCCTACCGTGGTAGAAATGGAATTCAAAATGTCACGTTGTGGCACCTGGACCACCTAGCCTTGGGCCCATCTATCGTCATATACGCAACGTACCATTTGTATGCTGCATTCATCATGGTATACTTTCCGATAATAAAACAACAAAAAACAAAAATCACAAGTAAGAAAAAAAAAATTGTAAGGCTCAAAAGTGAGAGAGATGGATATCGAACTCCTCAACAAACAATTTTTATTTACATAACAAAATTTTCTTTAGTTCTCTTCTAATGGTTAGATATTCAGTTTGCATGAGGGCTGATCAAGCTTCAATTGTCCAAAACACAAACCAAGATTACCTGCCATTTCCTAAAGTAGATGAATCTGATAGCTACAGTTAAAAGTGAAACCTAGAATTTAACATCTATATATTTAATTGAGTACATTCCCATTAATCAATACAACAGGCATCTCTCTAACCATAAAAACTGTGTCTACTCTTTTAACATATGCAAATGAATTTTAGACATCATAAGCAAGCTTGAGTTCTCAATCAATATAAGAAATGAAATAGAAAAAAGTGACCATGCCATAAATTTCTCAGCAGCACTGCATCAACACCAGATAAAATTGAACTCAATAGAAGCTGCATCTAAAAGAAAACCCAATAATTTAAAAACCACGACTCCCATTTGACCCCCCTAATCTATACCCCAAAGAGAACCCAACTTTGTATCTCTCTCTCTCTCTCTCTCTCACACACACACACACACGCACACACACACACACGCACACACACACACACACACACACACACACACACATTCATCAATGAATGTCCTCTCTAATTTCATCGTCAGATAAATCTGTTCTTCTCCTAGTTTTTTGCTAAACTCATAATTGAGTAAGAAGCCTGTGATTCCTTTCAAGAGAAGCTGTATCTCCACTGATTTGGCAAGAAAGACCCAAACACCTTAAGAGCATGACTCTCCATTTACCCCCTAACTTGGATCAATACTATCCCTTAGTAAGACTCAACTCCAGTGCTTCTCTCCCATCTTCTGCATTTCTCACTCTAATCGATGATAATAAGACTGCCCATCCAAAGTTCCTCATCAGATTGATTTTCTCTTTTCTTGGTCTTTGCCAAACATATTGTTGGGCAAGAATCTTGTGCTTCCTCAGAGCCCACGGCAAAGCAATTGGCTGAGTTTTGGGTCGATATTTCAGATTTGACAAATGAGTCTTCAGGTCCTTTGATACCATCTGGATTGTCAGGTACCCCCCATTTATTAGATATGCAAGATAGGCCATCAGGTGGTATATGAATTCATCCAAATAAGTAAGGACACTTTTATGATGCCAAATCTTGCTCCCTGATGTGGTGAAACCTGAACCAGTGAAGGAATTTAGTGGCAATTTCAGTATATCCTGAAAGGAACTAATGTCTCCAGTGTACGGTTTGGAACCCTGTTTTTACCGGTCGGAGTTTATAAAAATCATGAGATGAGGATCTGAAGACAGGTTTCGTGTGGGCAAGCCACTATGCCCCAATAAAACCTCCACTATCCAACTTAGTTGGGCAGTGGAGATTGCATGTGTCCCTGCAATCTCCACCTATGCAGGCATGCAGCCTGCCCGCATAAAACAATTTGCCAATAAATATAGGGACAGCATACCAAGCACTATTTATGTACAGCACATGGTAGAACGGAATCCAGCATTCATTCCTGATGATACATGGTTGAAATTAATAGTATTGGGGACCTGCCGGACATTCACACTCTGTATAAGTTAATCTCCAATGCCTCTCACTGGGTATGAATGATAGATGCCCCTTTGGTATAGCATATGCCATCATTGTGTATGGCACACTTTCCAATGAACATATATAGTCAGCGGGTCTTCGCCTCATGCCTATTGTGCAGCATGGTTCATTTTGTTTCCCTTGTTTTCCCTTATTGCTTTTTTTCTTTTTATTTGTGCAGTATGATCTGTTTTGTTTTCCTTTGTCTTTTCCATTCCTACAAGTGCAACGAGATTGTATGCTTGGAAGATAATCCTAGAAAATCCTACTTATATGCAGAGCGAGGGTGAAGATAAGCTCACAAGGGTGACTCATGGATACAGAGAAATTACCTCAAAAAATGCCAATGAAATTATTAGAGAACATGGGGGAAAAAACACTTGAAGCTACATGAAAAAACCAAAACACTTGAGGACAGAACGGTTTACTTGAGTACCCTATCAAAAGAGTCTACGAACCACTGATAAGAGTGAAAAAAATGAGATTACTTTGTTGCAATAGATGCTTCTTTATGTAAAAGCTAAGATTAATGACCATGATCAGCTGTTCATTATGTGTGCCTTTATGGGTGAGATTTTGAACATAATCGCATGGAAATTAAACACCAAAGCCGTAGCAAGCTCAAATATCCAAAGCTTCCTAACAAGTCCATCCCAGAATATGTTCAAAAACATGTTGAAGGTCTTGGAATGCCTCTCCCCCATCTCTAATTTGGTTGATGTAGCAAGAAAGAAGCCGGTGGGTAAAGGAAGACCAACATCGTACCATTCAAGTGATGCCAAAATTGAATAGCATCCCAGAAGAAAAGATAAAACCCCTTGAGGAATGCAAGAGAAAAGCTCATATATGAAATATGTCCCCTAATCAACCTTAATTGAGATAGAGCAAACATAGTGAAGATTGTAAAGAGGAAATTCATACATATGACATTAGACAATGCTTAACTCCTCACTATTGTATATCTTCATACAAGCAAATACAATGGATGGAGTTCCCGCAAACCCCTACAAATGTAGCGAAGATATATTATTTCTTTTGATAATGAAAGCTACATTAAGAAATTAGTAGAATGATTCAAACTGTAAATGAGACAACATTTAGAGTAAGAAAGTACATACAAGAATATATAGCAGCCATCAAGATAAATAAATGTTCATATATCATAATTTTTCAAATGAAAAAATATGATAACAATGAAAACTCTCTCTCTCTCTC